GCCGCCCCAACCGCCTTTCAATGTTATGTGTGCGTCCGTACACGGCGCGCGGCGAGCTTACACACATACAAGCAATGCTGCTACGTTTGTATGGAGTTACCATACTAGTCTAAGGCGCCGCGCCGAATATTCCATTTTCATACAATTAATATGAAATCGGCACCGTCGATTCCGGATTACATAAATTATATGTATTGGCGTAGTATAATAAGGTAATACGAGATTATAATATATGGCGTAATTTCAGCCTAGTGAACTCTAATAATACATTTATGGTCTCTATGGTAGAACAATGATCTCTAAATTGGAAGACTTGAGAATCGCTGAAACTAAAGTCTGTCTTTTTTGGAGACGGAGTAAAATGACATGTGCAAGGTTGCTATAAAAATAGTTAAAGGTAGTTTTCGTAAAATTTTAAATAGTCATGATAGTCATGTAGTTGTTGTGGACAGTTTTATCGATAGATTGTGAAAGATGCTAAAAACTTTGCGAAAAATGTCTGAATTATGAAAGTTACACTACTCTAAAGATTACTAATTGCGTTATTACCTTAATTATTCTCATTTTGGCCTACTAGTATCGAAATCAATTTTTATTCATATATATTAAGAACAGGCGGATTCTATAATGAATTAAGATGAAAAAATGAAAATATGTTTATTCTTTATATTTTTATTAGACATAGATAGTTCTACTCATATATGTGTTTTCAAAAAAACACAGACTATAGCGCTAACGCTATGTCTAAACATCAAAGGAAAAAATGATACTTTATAGAAAACAAAACCCAGGCCCAACTTATGAGGACGACTACAATTCTTTAGGGCAGGGTATGAATTAATAATAACTTGCAATTATTATTATGACTAGTTTACATAGAGTACTCTTTAAAATCTTACCTAGTCCATAGATATCTGCCGCATATCGAGCACCTATATCGCATATGTAAATGTGCTGCGTTGTAATGTTCCTCTAGAGACTTCTCCATTCTAAACTGCTTGTTGCATCTTGAACACTGTAAAAAATTGTTTCAGTCTTTTTAGTTCTATGGCCAGAATAGGTGTTTATTTAATTTTATTAGGGGAGCTTACAGCTCCTTTTACAAAATTGATTTAAATTTGATTATTTAGATGCGAATTAAGCAATAGTGCCTTAACCTTTGTACTTCTCGGATTATTTTCTGTTACTGTGACAATCCAACCTTTGACATGAATTTCTATAACGTTTAAGGTTTTTAGTTTGTCTAAAAATTGTTATATTTGAATATATATTAGGTCAGATTTTGGATTTGTCTAAAAATTATTATATTTGAATATCTTTAAAAATGTCTTTCCACTTAACGAGTACATATGTTTTTTCGACTGATACACATTGGAAATGCAACGAAGTTTGTTTCATCGATTTACCAAGTTTTATTAAAATCTGTTAACGGAAAGTGGATAAAATCCAATAAACTGGATTCATCAGAGCCTCCTCCTTTTTTGAAGTCGATTAAAAATAGTTTTGTTTCCAATGTCTTACTACTTTTATAATCATTGTTTTACATTAATATATAAATTTTTATGCACTTTGCAATAAACACTATTTATTTACATTACTTACCTGGTATTTCTTATTAAAATGTATTAGTTGGTGTTTTCTTAAATTACTCGTGTTGACAAACTTGGCGGGACACATGGAACAAAGGTATGGCCTTTCACCAGTATGCACTCGCATGTGCAACGTCAGATATGCCTGCTGCTTGCCTCGGTACGGACATATGGGGCATGCGTAGTCGCATTTGTCCGAGTGCACTGATCTGTGAATAAATTTCAGTTTAAATTGTGTAATGCACACATGGAAAAAATTACGTAACTAATTTTATTGGCCGTTTTCGGACGAAATGTCGTCCTCTTTAGCATAAATGGACGTTAATTGGTATTTTTTAAAGTTATGCTCTATATTGCATAACATTTATTTTATATCACTATAATTAATTCATTTTCATCAAATTGTAAGTTATAACGTGGTAGCGGACGATATTTCGTGGCGTGGTAGTAAATAGTCTCATCTTAAACCCTTTCCTATTGGGCATATAGAAATTTATAGGAATCGCGGTGTCCGTCAGGATGGCTGGACCAAACGAAATATACATATCAAACTGTGGTCATTATTAATTTATCTAAGAAGATAAACTGTCTTTTTAGAAGATACCTTTTGCATAGGCGTTTTATTAGTTTTTTAAATAACTTTTTATAGAAGCTTACAAAAATAGTGAAAAAAATATGTTTAGGTAGAAATTAGGTAGTAAATAGTTATATAAAAAAAGTAAATTATATACTGCTAGAACCATGTAAAACGTAAACTGGTCCAGCCAACCTGACGTCAGAATGGCTGGCCACTTTATTTCTTTAATACTTCCGTTAGCGCAAAGGTAGAAAATATGTAATAAAGGTACTAAATAGTAGAAAATAGGTAGTAAATAATGAGCAGTTTGATTTGTATATCTCATTTGATTCAGCCATCCTGACGGACACGTAATCGCGTAGTATTCAAATTTTATTATTATTCAATTTAATTTGCAATTATTTTACTTCATATGTTATCAATACTTACAAATGTGTTCTCGCACTGCCAGCAGTAAACGAGATCTTCCCGCAAATGTGACAAGTGTACTTTTCAGCACGTAAGTGCACTACATTCTTGTGCCTTGCTATATTTGATACCACTTTGCCACAAAGTGGACATGGCGCGCCGTAGCATGCACGATTACGGCGATGATCCTTTAGCTGCTCCTGGCATTCAGGTAAATATATTTGTAGCTGATAATATTATTTATGGGTATTAATGTTATGTGTAGATACTGTAGTATGCACGGATCCTCATATTGCTACTACATTACCCAAATGCAAATGGGAAATTGTACTTGAAACACTTTACAAATTAATGTTTTACTTCCTTTATACAGGGTCATTTGTAAACTACTAACAACCTCTTTTTTTTTAAAGCCTATACTGTCCCACTGCTGGGCAAAGGCCTCCCTCCCCTCTCTGTTTTGGGCCACTGAGGTCCAGTCTTTTAGGTGCGCGTCTAGCTCGTCTCTCCATCGACGCTGCCGCATGGTCGTTTTCCATCTTTGGGGATCTATTCTGTGGTGGACTTCGCCTACGACTTGTGTGACATGCGGCAGACGTGACCCGCCCAGTCCCATTTTAGTTTACCTGTGACGCACATTGCATAAGCAAAACGCTATCAACACACGATCAATGACGTCGGCGCCTGCACATCGTACGATGAGTGACGTCGGCGCCGCGCCTGCACATCGCTCGATGCCCTTGCAAGCCAGCCGACCCCCGCGGGGCGCTCGCCCCGCCACATCCACCTCATCGCGTCAAAACCCAACTCTGCGCGCCAAGCACCGAGCACTCTGCTTGCTTCTCGCTTTGGAAACAGACGCGTTTTCTAATTCTTATACTGCTTTGTGTTTTTACGCTGTTCTTGTAATTTTTAATTTCTTTAAGTTCCTTTTCATTCCTTTCAATAATATTATTCATTAGCTTCCACGTATCTTTCTTCCTTCCTTTCGCTTTTTTCGTTCGGGTTCGGGTTCGAGTCCCGAATTAACAGAGAGGAGAAACGAACACACTCCTACATACCCATTTTAGTTTGTTGGCCCACATCTACGATTCGTGTTTTGAAGCTCAGATTACTGTTCCTAATCGGTCTGCGCTCCTTAGCTCGTTGGCAGACAAATTTTTGCCGCGCTGTCAGTAACCAGGTTTATCCTCTCAGGACCATATTACTAACATGATAAGCAACAACTTTTGTTCCATGACTTTTCATAATTCATCAGTCTTACATTCGTACAAACGTCTAAACGGTGATAACTCTGTGCGGTAGCAAAAGAAAGCACGCGTGAGGCGTTGCTAAACAACTTACTACTACATACAGATCTAAAAAGTGTCAGATAGTGTACCTACAATAAAAAAATAAAAGTTTATTGTGTTTTGTAAATAGTCATGGAACAAAAGTTATTAATAATAATAATAACGTACACTCAATATAGCCCCGTACTAGGGAAACCCTGTGTTGTAGGTGCCATGGACATACACATAGATAACCATAATATACACCCAAACTCTCGAGAGAAATAAATGTAGGCCATACAAATATTTCTCCTGGCCCGGGAATTGAACCTGGGACCTCTGCGTGGCAGTCCGGCATGGTAACCGTTCGGCCACGGAGGCAGTTATTGTTTATGATGTTAGTAATATAGTCCAACAAGATTGTTACTATTTTACAAATAACCCTGTTTTTCTTTTTACACTACAACATGACGGCACGAACAAGTCGCGTGTCTGGCGGTAAGCGACACGCCTGTCCCTAACAGTTGTACTGCCACTCGGAGCTTTAAATCACAAAGATCTGAGAGACACTGCCACTGCGCCCGAAATCTTGAGACATAAGTTAACAAGTCCCATGTGCCTGTAATTTCACCAGCACCCTTACTCTTCAAAACCGGCACGCAGTAATATTCACATTACTGCTTAGTGTCAGAAATAGATAAGGTGGCAGTACTTGCCTGGACGAACTCTTTCACAAGGAGCTCTACTGCTACTAAGTTGTACTGTACATTCGAGTGTCATAATTGTCATTGCTAACATGATGTATTCGTGCTACCCACCACTTGAATTATCTGGAGCTCTCGTGATTTAGTATCTAACTTGCATAACATACCAACTCAACAAATGTGGTGCATTAAATAATAGGGGTTTAAATATGAAATTGCCGATTTATTTTACTGGCCACTTTAAATTAAAATTAAACCTGTATGGTGTCCGATTTCAGAGTGAAACGTTTTTCACACGAAAAGTAAAACATGCTTAATTTAAAAAACATGATATTTGATTGTTCGACTTTCAATTGTTTTTACATTCAGCTTTTAACGTGAAGACAGATACAGCGAAAATCTGAGTACCTAATTTTCGAATACGAATTTCCACATGGAGTTAACGTAGCAGAAACTGTCAATGCTGTATTTGGAGAGGATACGGCATACGCAAATACGGCAAACGCCGGCAATACGGCAAATTACGACTTGAAGAAAGAACCACGAAGAAAACCAGTCACAAATGTAAATAACGTTGAATTGAAGGTAATGATGGAAGCCGATCCGTATCAAACTACCACGAAACGTCATGGTTTAATGTTAGCATACCCACAATATGACATATGGCGTTTGAATAATGACGACGGAACTCGCAGCAAAACAGCTTCACCGTTATTGCTCTATGATAACGCAACACCTCACACTGCTTGAGAAACAGTTTTACTACTACAAGACCTGCAGATATAAATTATCCATCATCCTACATATTCGTCGGACCTCGCCCCGACCGACTACCATTTTTTCCCGCAATTTGATTTTTTTTTGTATGGAAATAAAATTCCCAGGAAGCAGTACAAAAATCCCTTCACACAGCTGTGGAGTCCAGGTCTCCAGACTTCTATCGCAAAGGTTTAAATGACCTTCCGATTACATGGCAGAAATGTATAGACAACAAGGGAAAAAACTTTGATTAAACAAATATATTATTTAATCTTAAAAAAAATTGTTTTAATTTTTCAGTGCGAAACGGCAATTTCATACTTTAACCCCTAATATTTATGATATATGTACCTGTTTATCTTATGATTGTACGAAATCTCTCCCAAAAGCACGCGTCCTTTGTCCGTTATTCTGACCTAGGTCTATTTATTAATCATAATCGGACTCGTGGCATCCTTCAAAGTAATCTCCATTCGACTGAACGACACGCTCCCACCGGTGCTTCCACATTCCGAAGGAGTTATGGAAGTCAGCCTTCGGTGCACTCGTCGCATATTTTTTAATCGTCTCGGAGTCGTTAAACCTACGCCCTTTGAGCGGATTTTTAATCTGAATAACGAACGAAGGTCGGATACCTTTGGAAAAGACTTCGTACAAGCGTAAAATAAACAGGTACATATGTATATCATATTTATGCACTACATTTGTTGAATTGGTATGTTGTGCAAGTTAGACACTAAATCATAGGCTACCAGACTTATTAGCTCACCGCCCATTTAAGCAATATAAAAAAATTTCAACGCCCACCACCACAAAAAATCATTGAAAACACGTATTTTTTATATTAACAAACAAAAAACACAAAGAAAAGAAAATATATTGTTTTATGTAGATAATTCAGGTTTTTTTTTAATGCGGTAGCACTCCCTGGACAGCATCATCGCCCCCCAGTTGCTGCCTAGGCCCCTATCGCCCCTAGGACTCTTCTTTGTAGGGACCACTTTGGGAAACTATGCACTAAAATGTTGTGATGGTGTGGTGTTTCGGTTAACACTCATGAATAGACGACTGACTTTTATATAACTTTTAACGGACAACTTAATTATAATCTATATAACTCACAAAAGTTTTAGTGGAGAACATGTCTATCAAAAGTGAAGAGAAAAACACAGATAAAAAAGGCGCGCAAACCGCGTTATTTTAACGGCTTCGCCCGCCACACCACCCCCCCACGGAGAAAGGTAAAATCACCAAATCTTAAACTTTACACGCCTACCGGAACGAGTGACGTATGGGTTTGCAGAGGCTGAAAATCCAGGGGATTTCTTAGTCGCTGGAGAAAACTCTGGTTGAGGTGATGTATCAGTTGCAGGAGGCTGGTGTTGGTCTGTTAAATCCAGAGTAGTCTCCTTAGTCCTAGCAGTGTTTGGGTTAGTTGGTGGTTGCTCAATAAAAGCAGGTTTGACTCTGTCGACACTTACTACGACTGATTTTCCCTTAAAATCGATAGTAATGGTTTTACCATCGTCAGAACGATTAAGAACTGAATACGGTCCCGTGTATGGGGGCTGTAATGGACGCCGAACAGCGTCGTCCCGTAGAAATACGTGGGAGGCGTGAGACAGGTCCTTAAAGATAAAAGACGTGGGTTGTGTGTGACGAGACGCGCCGACAGGTCGAATGTTCGACATGTGACGGCGTAGTCGGACAACTAGATCAGTCGCGTCTTCGATTTTGTCAGGTCCGGGTGCAGGTACCAACAATTCGCCAGGGAGGCGCAAGGTTTCGCCGTAAAGCATTTCAGCAGCGGTTGCTTTAAGGTCCTCTTTAAAAGCCGACCTCATTCCCAAGAGCACGAAAGGAAGGGCTTGGATCCAGGAGTTCCCGTGGCATGTAAGAGAAGCCTTAAGTTGCCGGTGTACACGCTCGATCATGCCATTTGCGGCTGGATGGTAAGCGGTGGTACGTATCCGTTTGGTGGCGAAGTTTTGTAAAAGTCGACGGAACAGGTCGGACTCAAATTGAGCACCACGATCTGTTGTAAGTACTGAAGGTACCCCGTAACGCGCGACCCATTCCCTGGTGAAAGTTTCTGCTACTTCTTCTGCCGTCGTTGTCCGCATGGGCCAGACTTCGGGCCATCTGGTCACTCTGTCAATTGCCGTGAGGCAATAACGATAGTCGTTACAAACCTGTAGTGGACCTATTATGTCCATGTGGACGTGTATGAATCGACCAGATGGCGTATCAAAGTTGCCTAAGGGAGCGGAGTTATGACGAGTTACTTTGCTGCGCTGACAAGCTTGGCAAACTCGAGACCAACTTCGACAGTCTTTATTTATGGAGGGCCAAACGTATCGATCGGCTACGAGGCGAGTTGTCGCACGAGATCCGGGATGGCTCAAATTATGAAGTTTATTGAAAATGGCTCGGCGAAATTCGGGAGTGACATAGGGTCGAGGCTTGCTTGTTGAAAGATCACAGATTAAAGAGAGATCGGTGCCAGGTATTACAACTTTGGTAAGTTGAAGGCTGGAAGAATTATTCTCCAAAAGTCTTAGGAGTTCTTCGTCCGACTTTTGTGACTTGGCAAGATCCTCGTATTCCTGCTCCAGGGAGATTGCGTTAATTCGAGACATGGCATCAGCCACTGTGTTGTCTTCGCCTTTGATGTGTTTTATGTCAGTCGTAAACTGACTTATAAAAGACAACTGGTTGAGTTGTGCAGGAGCAAGCTTCTCTCGGCGCTGTAAGAAGGCGTACAACAAAGGTTTGTGGTCTGTAAAAATAGTGGCGTGCTGGACCTCGAGGATGTAACGGAAGTGCTGTACGCTTTCGTACACCGCCAAGAGTTCTCTATGGTAGGTGGGCCACTGAGACTGCTGAGGGGTCAGCTTCTTGCTAAAGAATGCAAGTGGAAACCATTGTCCACCAATTTGTTGCTGCAAGCAAGAGCCGATGTGTACGCTGGAAGCATCAGTAAAAAGACCCAGCGGGGCATCGCTAACAGGATGTTGTACCAAAGTCGCATCAGCTAAGCTCCTCTTACACGCCTCAAATTTCTCGAGCAATTCCGGAGACCAAGGAAAGGGTTTGGCTCCCTTGCTGTTGGTAGAGACAAGAGCATCGATTAACGGCGCCTGGAATTGAGCGGCGTGAGGGATAAATCGGCGATAATAATTTATCATTCCAAGAAATCGCCTCATGCCCTGAACGGTTTCAGGTGGTGGAAAATCCATCAGATGTTGAACCCTGTCTTTGGGAGGGCGAGTGCCCTGGGCATTGATCAAATTGCCTAAGAAAATAACCTCGCTGGCACCAAGAACGCATTTCGAGGGGTTTATGACCACTCCATATTTCTGAAAGCGCTCGAAAAGAAGGCGCAAATGATCCTTGTGAGTAGCAGCATCCCGAGAGAAAACTAAGACGTCGTCTACGTACGGAAAACAGAAATCGAGACCCCGTGTGACCTCATCGATAAAACGTTGAAACGTTTGACCAGCGTTTCGTAAGCCGAAGGTCATAAAAGGAAATTCGAAGAGGCCAAACGGGGTAACGATGGCTGTCTTCGAAATGTCGTCCTTAAAAACGGGAATCTGATGGTATGCCTTCACAAGGTCTATAGTACTAAAAACAGTAGCACCAGCGAGGCTATTGGCAAAGTCATTGATATGCCTGACAGGATATCTGTCCGGGATCGTCCTAGCGTTCAAAGCGCGGTAATCGCCGCATGGACGCCAGGTGTTGTCCTTTTTGGGCGTCAAGTGCAGAGGAGACGACCAAGCACTTTCAGAAGGACGGGCAGTGCCACATTGAACCATGTCTTCAAATACTTTCTTGGCAGCTACAAGTTTCTGAGGGGCCAAACGACGGGGGCGACATGACACGGGAGGTCCTTCAGTCGTATTAATGTGGTGCACTGTACTGTGCTTTACAATTCTAGGTAAGCCAGGAGGACGCGTTACGTCTGGAAACTCAGTAAGCACGGGTGCGTAGTATGAATCACCAATAGAAATTGCTTTGACGCTGTCCTGTTTGATTTGTGCAACACAAGCTGAAACAGCAAGGTTAGTATTACCATCAATAAGACGCTTATAACGACAATCCGGAAGAAGATTATAGTGACTAAGAAAATCAGAGCCGATTATGGGAGTGCTGACATCAGCGATAATAAAATTCCAAAGGAAATCGCGGCGTAACCCAAGATTGAGGTGTAAGGAGATGTTACCATAAGTCTTGATCGAACTGCCGTTTGCAGCACTAAGGTCATAGTCACTGTTGTTGTAGCGGCCTTTGAGTAAACGCCTGGGAAAACAACAGAGGTCTGAGCCAGTATCGATGAGATACTGGTACTTAGACGTCCGGTCAGTTACAAACAGGCGGCGGCCGGAAGAAAAACAATCAGTAGCCGCCTCTACTGATTGTTGCTCACGTTTCCCTGTGGGGGTGTCCATGCGCAAGGCTTTGTGCATTTGGTTGCCTTGGTATCAAATTTCTTGTGATACCAGCATACCTTGGGTCCTCTTGACGGCGTGTTGCCACGAGAACGGCGGTTTGAAGACACGGAACGGTCGCGTGAACGACCACGGATACCCTTAGTAGAGAGTGCAGCTATTTGCTTCTTCAGGTCCGCTATCTCATTAGTCAAGGAGGCCACCACAGAGGACGGAGGGCCTGATGTAGAGGCAGAAAAAACTTGGTTCCTTGGACCGACAAGTTCAATAATTTTATCAGCAAGATCAGCTGTTTTGTCAAGGCCCAGTTCAGCCTGAGATGCTAAGATAGCCTGGACTTGCTGTGGAAGGCGTCGCATCCACAAGGAGCGTAAGATGCTTTCATCTGATAGAGCTGCGCCAGCTAGTGACCGGAGGTGCCTAAGAAATTGGGACGGCCTCCGGTCTCCGAGCTCTTCTTCGCTTAATAGCTGGCGAACACGCTGCTCTTGTGACATTGAGAGTCGTTGGATTAGCTCTTCTTTTAGTTTTAGATACTTGCCAGACTTGGGAGGCTTAGTTATAATGTCATCAATCTCTCCGGCCAATCTTTGATCCAACTGACTGATAACGTAGTTAAACATGGTATTGTCAGAAGTTATTCCTGCAATAGCAAATTGTGCTTCTACTTGAGCAAACCAGACAGCGGGTTTGTCTGTCCAAAATGGAGGCATTTTCACACTCACAGCGCAAGCTTCAGCCTTTTTCTCCTCTCTCAATCTTAGCTGTAAGGCAGCATTCTCAGCCAAAAGCCTTTCAATTTCCTGTTTAAACAGTTCTTCATCCATGTTAATGGTTCTATAGTACCAAACAAACACTAAACCAATAGTCGTGCAAAAATAATTAAAACCAGGAAAAATTGTTAGTGACTGGGGTGGGTGCAGTGGCAAAACGAAGCTATGACACACAAAACAGTACACAAAAATAAAAATGTTTGTAAAAGCAAATTATCATAACAATGCACAGTATTAGAACATGCTATTAGAACACTAAGAACGTATAGCAAAAAATTTACACACTTTGTCTAGAAATTATGACTGCAGAACCACTGTGCAGTCCCATGTTAATATACAAAATGGTAAAAAAAAAACTTAATTTTCCTAAAAACTAAATCAATAATTTAAAAGAAAATAGCTTGAAAGTTTAATTACATCTATTAATTAGTATTCAGTATTCATTACATTTATTAATAATAAACAGTATTTTTGTTAGTAAAAACAATAAGGAATTAAATTTCAAGATAGGAAATTCACTTCTGTAAATTTGTAAGTATGAGAAAAAAAACAGATTTTGCTTAGGTAAGTAGGGTAAGTTTAGTCATATGAAATTGTCAGTTTAGTTTATATTAAAAACACCACACCACACAAAGCACAAAACACCAAATAAAGTTCGAAATCGAGATAGACGGTTAATGGGTTTCCTGGAGGATTCCACTGTCAGTAAGTTCTCTGGAGGATTCCAATAAGAAAGTAAGTAAAGTTCAGCATACCAGAGTGTCGTTAGCAGTTAGAGGCTTCAAACCTCGGTGTGTTTAGAGTCGGCAGTGGTCATTAGCTTCCAACCAAGCTGCTAGCAGATTCAATCCGGCGTCAGCGCAGAAAAGTTAGTGCAGCAGTTGACGCCGGCAACCCACCACCGAACCAAATCACGTCGGGGTCACCAATTGTGGTGTTTCGGTTAACACTCATGAATAGACGACTGACTTTTATATAACTTTTAACGGACAACTTAATTATAATCTATATAACTCACAAAAGTTTTAGTGGAGAACATGTCTATCAAAAGTGAAGAGAAAAACACAGATAAAAAAGGCGCGCAAACCGCGTTATTTTAACGGCTTCGCCCGCCACAATGGGACACTTTTAAAAAGGGCAGATGCCGCTTATACAACTTTTGAAGACTCACATATTTCCAAGTAAACTTACGTAGCATCTAACATACCTTAGTGTCAAACACTACATCACACCTTTTACATTTATAAACCCTACTGGGCTCTTGTATTATATATTTTTTCTTAACAGCTGGTTTAGGCTTTTCTTTAACCACTCTCTTAGCTACCCTTCGGTTAATTCTGTCTCGCATATCTTGTATAATTTGTGCAAAATCGTGGTAGATAATTGAAGGTGTACTGCTTGCTGGAAGAATACATAAACGATATATACCAAAACTTTGTAAATTAAAGAAAGAAATAATGTTGTTTGTTTCTTTTCATATAAGCTGTCGCCACCTTAAATTTGTATAATTATTAAATATGTCACGCGTTTGACATCAATATAAAAAAATACAGAAAAATGTAAAAGGGTTTGATGTATAAAGTGGTATCACATTTTATATTACAGAAATTGGTGATATACTGTATGGGAGGTATACCTCTCACATAAGTTGCTGTAAGCCACGAAAATAGCAATTTTTAACTTTTTAACTTGAATAATACATTATTTTTTATGTATATTATAGATTCCATGTTTAATACTTTTAAACAGGAAAAGCAATCAATCAATGCTAATTATTGAGATTTGTTCAGAAAATGCTAAATTTTTCTGTGAATGGGATACTGAACTTTTTAAAATTAAAATAATCACATGACAACGCCGAGATGATTCACGATATCGACTGTGAACTGGCCACCGGTATACTATTTTAATTTTCTAAAGATTTCACTTTTTAATACCATTTTATACTATTTCATACTACGCAACATTGCAAGAAATCCATCTCAGATACATTTAATTTTGGCGCCAGAATCGCCTTCATTCAACTTGTACTAACTTCTAACCAGATGCTATATAAATGACGCGAACAATTATTTTCTTCACCTGTAAAATTGTCAAAATATGATAGTGAGGTTGCCAGTTCACGGTCGATATGTCAGTGTTGCGGAATAAACATGTCTCAGGTTTTTTAAAACATCTTGGTGATTTAGATGCTTTTGAGATAGGCCACTATTCTAGAAAACCATTGGTATAAAAAAGGTTATATTTAAATTATTAAAAAAACTATGTTGTCGCTTACAACAACTTACGCGGGAGGTATCGATTAGATACCATGAAAATTTTACACAAAACAACTGGTACGTGTAAAATGATCATATTATTTGTTGACACATTTATTGTAAAAGTGATTGAGTGTATGTACCTAATTGAGATAGTAGACTAAAAAAAGTACAAAACAAACCGTGTACTTCAATTCGCGCTCTATTAAATCAGAGGCTATTATTATTATTTTGGATATCTGTTTTAGAAAGTTTAATTTTGAATTTTTAAATGGCAGAGGCATAATTCTCCAGCAATGGTACATTATTATTATTAGTGCGGCTTCGTTCAGGGTCTACGCAGCCTTTCATCACTGCAACCATTAACTGATCTATTGTGATCACCACTAAATACAATTCAGAGCCAAGGCCAACAACATTAAAGAAGTTCAAGGACTCGCTTCAAAAGTTTTTATCAAGCGGCAGCAACAGTGCACAAGGCAAGACAAGAGTGTCAGCATTCTAATACCTTTTCTGCCCAGTGCCAGAGGTTATTTTCAGTGTTAAGCAGCAGTGTATGCTGTTATCAGGTTTTTGAATGCTCAAGACCTTGATCTGAAGCCAGATATCTCGTCTTGTAAAGGCTAAGTATAATTATTTAACGGCTAAGTAATTTAAAGGCTAAGTATATGCACTAATAAAGTGTTTTTCCATCGGCGAGGAGAGACGAGACGAGGCGATGCGAGAATTGAAATCTCGCCGACCCATTTCCACCAAAAATTGCCATTGCGAGCACTCGCAACCTCGAAAGTACTGTTAAATTCGTCTAGCGATAAACACGAAGCTAAAGTACCATGTCCCGCAAATTCTTATTATTAAATGTGTTAACGGAAGAAGAATCAGATGAAAATAGCGAAGAAATAATCATGTTATAATATAAGCTGTTTGTACCCTCTAAGGTAAAATAAATAAAAATAAAAAGAACTTTTTCGAAAACAACTTTTTTTTATAATCTTTTATCCCAGGGCAAAACTAGCAAAATACACATAAAAAGTTTACAACTGGCGCTGGTATGTTTACATTATATTGCAACTATAATGTGTGTATATATTTCTGAAAACGATGCAAAGTTTTAAAAGTGATTACATAATTATGATAAAATCACGATTCTAATCGTGTACATTTTAATGCAATTATAAATATATAATTTGCATTGTATAAATATTTACGACACTGATATGGATACATGTACGACACCAGCGCTATATACTTTACATTGACTTGTTTTACATATACTTACATTGTTGTTTATTTTTCTCTGAAATATAAGTATACCTTCTTTAAAACGGTGTCCTGATTACATATTTTTGAAAAAAGCACAAGGCACATTTTTTGAAATATCTAATATTTACATAATTTCGAAAATGTGTGAACGTTTACATTTCAATGCACGCGACTGTATACCACAATCTCGCAATTGACATTAATAGCCATCGCGAGCACGTGCGAGCTCGCGGACATCGTGAATCGTGTTTCCGTTGCAGAGTCAACAAAAAGTCTATGTAGGCAGCAATATGGTTTAATGTTACATCAACAAATATTTCAAATCTCGTCTCGCCCATCCTCGTAATTTTCCGACCATTTCCACCGAAGATGTTGAGAAGAGAGAATTGATATTTTGCCGTACAAGTTTTAAAAATGGTATCATCCTGATTGCAAAAAGTTCGTAATTCTTTTATGGGACAAGGAATTACATATTTCAACAAAATACCGACTGAAATTGCATATTTACCATTTTATAAGTTTAAGATATATGTTAAAAATAAACTTCTGGCGAAAGGGAACTACTAATACTGTCGATGAGTATATGAACGATAAAAATGCTTGGAGTTAATATTATATCGTTTTGTTACCTACTTACCATTTTGTATGAATTGTTTTATTTACTTGACTTGTCTTTTTTTGTAATCTCTTGTGTGATTTTGAGTATTCAAAAGTGCTTGTGAGTCAGGCTTACTTGAATAAAACTTTATTATATAAATAAATAAATTTACTGCAGTCAGTGGTACTGTTTTATTTCTTGTGTTTTAATTTTAATTATTGCAGTAAATAAAGTAAAAACTTTGTTGATGGGTTGAACCATAAGGATGTGATATATGCATAGGTACAGCTCTATATAGTACTATGTAGATCTTCTGCTGCACAATTACGTATAACCGCAGCTATCAGCGCCAAAGTGATGTAAACCCATGGAATGCATGTATCTATATATATATAGATGAAAAATTTAAAATTAGCCAAATTAATTTTATATATTTTTTTATGATAGCAAGTGATGGTACAAACAAGTTGTGCGCCTGATGGTAAGCAACACGCCTTTCCATAACAGTTGCAGTGCCACTCAGAACTTTAAAACACAAAGATGCACTTCTTCTGCACTTATCATTGCACTTGTCACTTATCACCCTGACACTAACTTGGTAAGTCTCATGTGCCTGTCATTTCACCAGCACCCTCTTCACAACTGGAACGCAATAATGCTCACACTACTGCTTGGCAACAGAGATGTTACTCTTTATTTATTTATCTATATGTACTCTTTCGCAAGGAGCTCTACTGTTACATTTTACATAATATAGTAATCATATTATTAAATGTTATATTATTAAATTATTAAATGTTTTTTAAACATGAAAAAGGTATTTAAGTCAAAATGATATACTTTAGTATCATTTAAAGTAATATTGTAGTATTTAATGGAAATTAAATGCGGGCTTTACCACTTTGGCACTGATAGCTTCAATGATCAATTAGATATTTAATATTAATATATTTTAAACTTTTAGGCTAAAACTTTCAGTATAATAACAATAATAGTGGCAGAGAATGTATGATGATACTATGATGTATAGGTAGTTGGCACAAGAAGCATAAGAGATATAAGAATTATACCAAATATAGTTTCCTCTGGTAATGATTTCCGAAATTTTCTATCTGAATTTTCACATTTCCTTTTGAACATCAGTGCTGTCTTCAACTCTTCTAAACAAATCATGCATATGTATTTTGGGTAGCCATCAGTTTCATTTATCTGGAAATCAAAACTAAGAATTTAATACAGTACCACAAAAGATTAGTAGCAGTAGAGCTCCTTGTGAAAGAGTTTGTCCAGAGAAGGACTGCCACCTTACCTATTTCTGTATAGGCACATGGGACTTGTCAACCTATGTCTCATGATAACGGGTGCAGTGGCAGTGCCCTTCAGATCTTTACGATTTAAAGCTCCGAGTGGCATTGCAACTATTATGGACAGGCATGTCACTTACCATCAGGCACATGACTAATTCGTCCCGTCACTTGATTTAAAAAAAAATGTGTTATTTCTTTTTTAATTTTGTTAACATATTGTGCTAATTTTGAAGACTATGACCCAGAATATGATTAAAAATATTTTTTAAAGTAAAAGCTAGTTGCTAATCATAATCACAATAATAAAAGCTAATCAATGTAAAACACTGACCCATATGTTGGCAACAGCTCGTATAGCACCTAAAATGCTTAAGTCATCAATTTTCTCTGTTATCGGTATATCAGCTGGGCTCATGCAGACTCTGCAGATCATACGGTCTACATACTCAGACTCTCTAAAAGCGAAACGATTTAAAAATTGTGAATTTTTTAATATCAATCTTGGACATAGCTGAACAAAAAGGATCCAATGCACATCCAGTCACTTTCAAAATATGACAGTTTGATTTAAAAATGTTTCTCACTGTTGTTTTATTTTCAAAACTTATTATGTCATGTAACTCCAGAGATACCAATTTATGCTATTGCCATTATGTTGGATTTTTTTGCTGATCTAAGAGGTTAGATTTTAGGAACCGTTTGGTACATATAACTCATTTTTTGCTAATTTTGTGGATTAGATCCTTTTTGCTTAACTACGTCCACTTTATCTGTGAAACTTCTGCATTTGAATATGTATAGTATATACAGTTATGGTGCAATTACCTCTGCGCTCCTCTAAAAGAGTCCCACTCTGCTTTTACAGGAACAATGAAGTGTTTGCTTTGTAATTTCTTCCAAAGTAAGTAATGCGGAATCTGTAACATTATGTATATAGGTATAAATTACGTTTCATTTACTATTCACTTGTTATTATATGTAATACTGACGCATACCATTTTAGTGTAAGTTACTTTACGTTATATAAGTAAGAAATAGTTTTATAATTGGATAAATCCAGATAATAAGACGCAACAATATCGCTTGTTACTTCGTCAATAATCCAGCGACTTCTCGCTTGTTTGTGTAAATATTTAAACTAAATGTAAAATACAAGTAATACAGAATATACATTCGTTTGTATTGCGTTGTCTCTTTTTTCGACAAGACTTTCTATAGTAGTTGTACAGAAAAACGGGCTGTCAAAAATAGAGTGGTGTCTGATTTTTTCCATCCTCCAAAGATTTTATATAGCAGATACTCGATGTCTAGCAGCGCCTAGTGGCGTCTAGTTCGCGCTCGCTGCGCTGCCGCTGGTGTGACAACGTCTAAAGGAGGATTCACATTGCACAAATTCTGGTAATATATTGCCGCAATTTATCGCGTTGCGCGACATGACTTTAAGTTGACCAATTAGGTGCTGCGACCTTAGCTCCTAATTGGTCAACTCAAGGTCATATCGTGGAACGCGATAAATTGCGGCAAAATATTGGCAGAATCGTTCATTGTGAATCCACCTTTAGAGGATGGAAAAAAAGTTTGAGTCCGAGTCTAAACTATAGATACGAAAAATGCGTCACTGCAATAGTAGACTTTCACACTTGCTAACGAAAGTCGACTTTCATGGTTAGTTTGAGTTTGGTTTATAAATCAAATTTA